CTGATGATGAAGATGAAGGTGCGTTTGAAGAAGGAATATGAAGATCTGCGGCGTATGAAACTCGATTTCAGATGAATCTGAAGGTAGTGAATACTTTGTTGAGCAAAAAGTAACTGATATTCAAGCGGGATGTAGCGAAAACTGCAATGACGTGTATGGTTATGGATTTGCATGGCGGCGTAAAGGAATTCTCGGTAAATTTTTTCCTGATGTTTCACATTTTCAAGAAAGCTATAATCGAAATCAGGCGCTGCTCGGCCTGGAGGGCATTTCGCATCCGCATGATCACTAATTTCTTTGACTGGTTCATGTTAGTTAACAGGTCACAGCTATTAGTTTGCCAGCACTGTGAACTCCTGCGAAGCTGCGGATTTGTTCGTGTGAGCGATTTTGGTGACAGGAGTTGGCAGGTCTTCTCAAGGTACCTGTAAAAGCTCAGCTCGGTACTTTGAGCTGCGCCATGCTTTTTTTTGGATACTACGGTTCAACACCTATCCGCATTCCCACTGCAGTACTCCGTTGTTGACTCTAACGACTGTGGAATAATGTTATTTTTCTTTGCTAGAGAGCTATGTTTAGCTAGCACAGGAATGCTGAATCAAGCGCAAAAGACTGGAGATTCCAGCCCTTAATAGATCCGGCGCTGTTCGGGCTCGGTTGAGCACCAGATGTTACCAGCTGAGGTGGTACAGGCTAATCGTGAAGGCCTCTTAGTTCCTGTAACCAGACTGGCTCACTCCAACAATTTCGCACCTTTACATGAGTTTACAGGTCTGACCAAAGTGAGACTAGTTTGTAAACATGACTTACAAAGGCAACTAGCAAAACTGCAAAATGCCCCCTGTTAGTAGAACAACGACGGAACCTGTTCTGCGATAGTGCCAAGCCATTACACCACCCAGGACCACCATCCACCATCTCTGAGGATTGACATAGAGGTCACTTGATTTTTTCAAATTTGAATATATCTCCTTCAAAGGTCAGCTAAACGAAGAAATTGGTGGACTTGTCGAAATTACCGATCCAGAACATTCCGTAATTCAAGAAAGGAGCGAACAATGCGCTCAACGCGATGCCGAGGCATTCGATGCTGAACGTTACTTGTAAGTTTGCTCTGCTGACGAATTGTAATGTAAGAGCATTTTCAATAGAAAACGCAGTTGGAAAGCATTTCGTTTCATTGTTGAGGTTAGATTTGTTGGAACCTGAAGATGCCC